TTGCTTCTTCAAGAGATTGTCAAAACCGTTCCTTTAACCATATTCGGGGGAACCAACCTGAAAGTAGACGAAAGCAAACAAATAAAGCTAAACTATACATTATTATCAACTAATGGACTTAACTAATGCAAATAAGGGCGCTTGAATATGCAATATTCGGCGCTTATCACTCGGTTGGCTTTGTTGGGCGAGCGCTCCGTTGCCTTTGGACAGGCACTCGGCTGGCTTTGCTGGGCGAGCACTCGGATGGCTTTGTTGGACGAGCGCTTGGATGGCTTTGCTAGACAAGTGCTTGGCGCTTATGATTGCCGAACGAGCCCTCGGTTCTCTTTGGACGAGCACTTGGTTCTCTTGGGACAAACGCTCGGTTCTCTTTGGACAAGCGCTCGGGACTCTTTGGACAAGCGCTCAGCTGGATTGTCGGAAGAGTGTTCGGCTGCCTTTGGATAGGCGCTCAGCTTTCTTTGCCTCGAGTTGGAGCGCTCATATGAGGGACGAGTGTTCATGTGACATAGTGCGCGCGCCGGGTGTTGATGAATGCCAGACGAGCACTAATTCTTTCAATTCTTCAAGCTTTTATCCTCTTTCACCTTGATCTTGGTTTTGGATCATTGAGTTCATCCTCTGCTCTTTTTCTTTGTAAAGAGTATCCATGAGCAAAATTGGGCCAATTCCTCTTAGAAATCATATGTTGCTAAGGCCTGGAATGACTTGATCTTCAAAAAGCCTTTAAGACTTCCATTTTATTTCTTTTTGGGAAACAAACTTGAAAATACACAAAAACACGAAACTGAAGATAATCTATATAAAATAAATAAATAATAGACTTAACTAATGCAATTAAGGGCGCTTATCATTGAGTTATACAATCGAAGAAGATAGAGAGATACTTAAATCTCCAACTCAGTTATCTGTGAACTGTAACAGACGTTTGAGCCATTTTAGGTAGCTAACCAGTTAGCTTACTTCTTCGCGTAACTTTTCTTTTTACAATGATTAGTTTAGAAAATAAGAATGTGTAACTCATCAAATGATTCTCTTGGACATACTGACACTAAAGCCATAACCATATATAGCTAGAGAGCCATCTCTATTATAGAGATGTTGTTAATAATATTGTTGACATGTATATAGATACACATACATTTTCTGGTATGTGTCATGTACGCCAGTAAACAAAGTATAATATTCAAACTAACCCAAGTGTTCGTCTAATGCACGTGAGTAAACAAAGTATAATATCTTATTAAAATGAAATTTATGTTCATTCGGCCTTATAATTACTAAAATAGTATTCTTTTTCTTGAAAATAAATAAATAAAATTAAAATAAAATAAAAAGTGTGTGTGGGTTCGTGCAAGCAAAATGAAAAGTATCCCAACTACAACACATGAAAATAGCATGTAAAGTATCAAGGGTGAACCAATAGATACTATAGAAGAAGAAAAAATAAATAAATAAAAAATAAAAATAAAAATAAAAATAAAAATACCAATAGATATTAAAAAAATTAAAAGATTATCTCAACTTATATAAAAGTTCTTTTTGTAAATAGAGTGCCTTGTTAGTAAACTATGGTGGAAAAAATATTTGTTTGTACATGTACGGATATAGTTCGTAAAGACTAAAAAAATTGACATAAAAAAATAAAAATGAAAAATACAATATGGATATGTTGCGGTAAATGTTGTCTTCCAACTTTGTGCATCATTCTCCAATTTTAACGCAAGTTAAAAATATGAAAGAAAAAAAAAATTGTAAAATGAAATTATACAACAATAGACTTATACCGTATAAAGAAATTGTACAAGATAGTTATAAAAGGGAAATTGTACAACAATGGTTATAAAAGGCTTTCGGATAAGAACAACTAAACTAAGGTATAGTATGCAAATCTGTGAAGCCTTATCGATAAGAACAACTAACCTAACGCACTGCATCGCATGCAAGCCTCCGACACTCCAAGTTCATACAATTCTACATTCCAACCAAACGCAGTATCACATTGCATACAAACCTCTGGCACTCCAAATCAATACAACACTTTCATTGGGAAAGGATCTATTACTTTTTGATTTTTGATTTATGTTTTAAAAAGGACCAACTTATGACCGGAAAGTGTTCGGATTCTGGTTCAATCCGAAATTATATGATGTGGTTCTAACTATTTCTTCTCACATATTTGTTGATATTTGTTCTTAGATCTTTTTTTTACTTTGTAAATTTGTTATAATGGATGGTGAACTAATAAGGCCATGTATAAAATTTTATTTATTTATTTTTATTATGATTTATTTTCTTTTGTTTACTAGTAAAAAATTAAAAAAAAATAAAAAAAATGGGGTGCAAAGCTTTGTGCTAGTTGAAAAAAATAAAAATAAAAATAAAAATAAAAAAATAACAAACAAACAGGTTAACTCATTCAACCTGACCAACCCGAAATGTTCGGATTTGGGGTTGTTAAAACCGATCCGTTGTCAGATTGAGTTCTAAATGGGTTGGGCAAACACTAATTTGGGTTGGTTGGGACCGGACCCGAGTTGGGCTGCCAACTTGTACCCCTAGTTATGATGATGGTTATTCTTCTAATTCATTCAAAAGATGGAATAAATTCATAAATTGCATACAACGTTGGTGATCCAAATTTTTTTTCAAAGAAGAATAGAATAAATTTACAAGGCCAATTAGCATCCGCTACAAAACCCCAATCTTTAAATGGTTTTTCATCATTATGAATTAGATGATACTAGGAAGATAGATTTCCTTAACAATAGACATTTCAATTACCACCATTCTCATAAAGTCTAAATTCTTCAATTCTATTATTGTTTTTGATATTCAAAATCCTCATCCAATCTTTGTTATAAATTAAGTAGTTGGATTTCAACCCTTCTGATATTTGCTATGAAAAAAAAAAAAAATAACTTAGATATTAAGATCCTGTTTGAGTACCTTATTGAAAAAATAAAAATAAAAATTTGTTTTTGAGTTGAAATGTTGTATTTACTTGTTCACTCAAATTAGATGTCCAGTTCAATTGATTGTATAGCTGGAGATGATAAGTCATTAATTTTATCATTTTCTAGAGATTTATATTATTGGTGTGTGAGCGTTTACTTAATGTTTTTTTGAAAAAACAGGCGACTTTAAATTACACTTGAGTTGATAGATTGTCTAAGCGAAATATAATAATTGGCACAATTTTGATTTGAAAAATGCTACTTCACTAATTTTGTGATTTTATATCGAATTAGGTGGCTGCTTACTTGTTGGCTTATTTGATTGCTTAGTGTATTTTAAAAGCAAAAGATCTTAATATAGGAAAAAGAGAAAGAGAAGATAGAATACAAACTCTAATATAACTCAATAATTTCAATTCAAGTTTGTTTTGGGAAACCATTTCTATTAAATCTTCAAATAATTAAAATTGAAAACTACGATTTTTTATTTATTTTTACAATGAATTACTAATCATTTTCTCGTAAATAAAAACCTTAACTTGCATAATTCACTCAAAACTTTTTATAATTATATTTTGATTTGGTATTTAATTTCTGATTATAGTTAAATTTTAAAGAAATCTGTACCCAGCAAAAGATTTTTGGAAGTTGAGAAAGTGAAGAAGAGAATATATATATATAATGAAAAATATTCAATGTAATTGTTTGTTACCTTTTTCCTTCATTTGTCAATTTGTTTAGTTTGTTAAAATAGGAAATACAAATATATAAAATAATAAAGTGTAATATGTATTAAAATAGAATATATTCATGTCTTTTAGTTATCGTCATATCATATTCGAGATACAATTTCAAATTAAAATTCGAGATATATAGCGTTGCTCTTTTAATTTTGTTTTCTTTAGGTTTAATTGCCACAAGTTTTTTCTTGATACACATCACAAATGACGTGGCCCTTTGAAATTGGGCAACGTTCACGATTAAAATTGTAGAAAGAAATTTTTTTCTGTTTCTCTCGAGAAAATTCAGTCAAAGAGAACATGCTTCTTTTACAAAGAAAGAAACAATTGTTGTGATCCATTAAACACAGAAGAAAAACCTATGGTCAGGCACAATTAATCAGAGGAGAATTCGACAGTGGTTGCGATCCATTCAATGCTTCTTTTGACACCATGGTTTATCTAACAAGGGACATTTGTCTCATATCGAATTCGAATGAGAAAGTGATTGATTATAAATGAATGGGTATGTAATACTGCCCAAATAACTTGAACTTTTGAATAAATAGACTCGTCCACCCGTTTGGAAAATATTTTTCTTTTTTAGGTAACATATTCTTTTATTTTTATTTTTTTAGTATTTAACAAAGGTCTACATCAAGATTGAAATCGAGTCCATCGGGAGAGACATGTAAAATAATATGTCGAAAATTAATGAATATATTATTTTTGTTAAATTTTAATATTTTTTTTCTTCCTAAATGTTTTATGACAACCAAAGACTAGAAAATAAAAAATATATATATTTTAGAAAATATTTTACATTCAAACAAACCAAACCTTAAACATGAATCCACCAAATTTGATGAGCTGACAACATTTAACCAACCATAACAAAACTATCATAACAGTAGTCATGTCTAATTGACTACTTTAACAGTCCTGTACTTTCTTGTCTTCTAGAATGGAAGGTTTAATGTTCCAATCCCATACAGGAGCAAGTGGGTGTGAGTGTGTGCCATCAAAAAAATAATAATAATAAAAGAAAAAAGAAGACCACTACTTTAACATATGCAACACAGTCAAAATGAAGAATTCCAAAAAACAGAGTCAAAATGCAGAATACATCCATACAAAATGAAGTCCAGAAAGCTCCCAACATGTGCAATATTTCGTACTTCAGAGCAAAACATAGAGCAAATTGACAACTCATGCATCAGTGACATCGGCTAATAACTTTGGCCTGCGGCAATTTGATGGCATTCCATGCCTTGCGGCAGGTGAGGTCAATATCGTTGGTAGAATATACATCTTCAACAACTCAGAAGATGCTAACATCCAAGACAACCGTGTCATTTGTTCCACTGGCAAGCTCAAACACGTGTGACACACACACATCAAATTCTTCTAAGATGCCGATCTCAGAAGCAAAATCTTTCCAACCACCAGCTAGTACACAGGCTTTGAAATAAAATCTGACCTGGAGATGCCTACTGGCCCATGCAGTAGGGACGGTCTGTAGAGCAATCACAAATACAGTTACAATGGAAATTCAACATTATCGACCTGACTGTTTTACTTGTTGAACTATTGTGCATATGCAAAGATGTTTTCTCATAGTTGAAATGCTGAAAGTAACTTAAAAATATATATATAAAAAGAGGAAGAGGAAGAGGAAAGGAATTAAACCTAAAAAGAAGATTAGGGAGTCAAATGAGAAGTCAGAATATGAAATCCCCTGCATACATGTGAAGGCCGCATAACCACAATGGAGCTCGATCTCTTTGTGGCAGCAACCAAGGCCATTTGCAGAGCCTTCTTTTTCTCCTCTTCAGTTATAGTTCTTCTATTGGATACAAGTTGCACGGAACAGGCTAAATTCATTCTGATGGATCTTTGTTTAGGATTTGAGTCATTAATAAATAAATAAAAAAAAACAAACATAACCACAGAGAATTTATAATTTTTAGTGTTTCTAAAATGCACTAAACAATAAATAAATAAATAAATCGCTTGTTTATGTAAATCCAATGTGCAAATAATATTAATAAATTACATATTAAGAAGAGGAAGAAGCACACAAGAATAAGGTTCTTAGCATTAGAGTGCAGTTTCATAAAGCAAAGCATTCTTTGGAAATCAAATGTTGAGAAGACTCACCGTAAATGACTTTTTCTCCCTCTGCACTAGTAGAAGGTACTTTGTTTCTCTAGTTCTTGCGACGAAGAGATTTAATACAAGTAGTACCCTTTTGAGTCCAACTCCTCCTATTACCACGGGAATGCCATCATGATGACATTGGCACTAAATTATCATACAACCTACGTTTCTTTTTTGATGAATTGCATCCAACATCATCATCAGTGTCATCATCATCATGTAAAGAATCAATTAATGGTAACTTCAACAGAAACTGTCCGTTATGTTTCTCTTCGTCTGGCATCGCTCACAAAGTTTGTTGTGTCCACAGTTTCAAACAAAATATGAAACTTCCTTCTCACACAAGTTTTGTTGGTCAAACATTAAAACAACAAAATGTGATCCACCATGGTATTAGAGGATCAAGAGGTCATCTTCTTCTAGAGAATGATCTTGTACAAAAAATTCCATCCATGCTTGAAGAACAAAGTATCCCCATCTAATGTTAGACCTTCATTCCATGTTGCACCACTTGGACATTTATGATCTACGGTTTCTGGTAGTTTCAGTTTCAAATTGTTGCCAAATTTATTTGAGATAGCCTGCAATTCCATACACACTTGTGCTCCAAATTATAGCTTTGGGAACATAAAAGACTTTACACCATGTGCTGCAGCGTACATAGCGAGCAAACTTGAATTGACCAAAATGAATGAATCATCACCATGCAGAACATAACTCATGTAGAAAACCAAACAACAAAAGCATAGAAGAGCATTATCACCAGAAAGAAAGCAAGATCAGATGCCATTATCCATCCAGCCTATGCAAAGTGATAATGCATACCAAAGCTTGCGTCTTTATACTTGTCAATTCAAACTTTTGCCATTACACAAACAATGATCCCTAGAATAGAGTAACATTAATATTAGTTGAAGTGTGTTGACCTTATAGAACTGATCAAGCAGGAATCTTTTATTCAACTATATATAGTACTTCGACAAGATACAAAATCTCAGACAAATGGATTTTTGATACAAAAGGATGCAACAAAATGCATGGACTCTAAGTAGCTTCGTGAAATTTACTATTAGAAAGCTCCCCTGTACCACTGAGAAGTATGATAAAGTTGGGCATTTCCTTCTGTACAAAACTACAAATGATGTTGTTTCTTTCGTAATTTGCCAATTTTTTCCAAAGCAGCTTAGTCACATGACATAATATGCGAAAAAAGTAACATAAAAGAGCACTAAATTAAACATTCCAATGCTAATTGCATATCAATTATTTACTTGCTCTCAATGAAATGAATACACTGATTACCTCAAGTTCTATAATTTTAATCCATATATGCAGTCACAGTGGTGGCCTAAAGAGTTCAATTTAAATCCATTTTGTTATTCATGATAAAACCATTACCCAATATTCAAGGCAAAGGAACTACTCTCGTACTCCAATTCACGTCCTTACACTTGGCAGTCCAACCTTTCACCACTGTACCAAGCAATGGCATCTTGGTTTGCTAGACAGTATATTGTAATAGTGTCATCTAGAATTTCTAAATTACTTTCTGTCTGTCTTCAAAGTAATATTTGGTCAGGGCTTCAATTTTTATTATGGTCAACTCTAGAGGGTAAGTCCTTGCCTTTCAAGCACCTTAATTAGTGAATTTGGATTAGTTCAGAGGGCATGGGAAATCAAAAATTCATGAAATCAATTTTTTTATGCCAAAAACATGTTGAATCTACAAGATGTCAGAAATTTTGCCATTAAAAGTTAATAGCATCGGTTCATACTGGATCAAAATCTAGATGCATCCAATTCACGTGATCATATGACTATAAGTAACTTATTTCCTTCCTATAATGAGAAAAAACAACGCAGGTTAAACTCCCAATCCTCCCTGACAAGTAAGTTCAATCTTAAACCTATAACAATTATTTGAGATGTTCTGCTCCTGTACATATGGTTAATGGAACATTGATTTTCCATTAGATACTATACAGAATATGAAAGACAAAAAAAAGGATGTCATTTTTCCAAACTTTTTATCGCAAAACTCAAATTCATCGCTATATCCCTTCCCGCCATATGGAGGGTTTTCCGCTTAGGCTTTTGAGACATATTCAGTTTTGTCTCTAAAAGGTTACATAAGGCGACAAATGATGCTTATGTCACCCAAAATGATTTTCTGCAACAGATTTGTTTTTGGCAAGCATGTCACAGTTTGTTATAGTGACAACTTCGTCTCTACTGACTAATAAAAAGTAAAGAAGTGAGGTTATTTGACTCTCCTATTGCTAGGAACAACGGCCGGAAGCGAAAAGAATCGGGTTGGCATCAGGAAGACAGTCAATTGTAAAATAAAGTCAAATCTCTCTGATGGATTCACATTGAATTAGGATTGCTAAAAATAATAAGAAATAAAAAAATTCTAATAGGGATATGAATACAAGGACAACTGATAAGTTTAATGATCCTGAAGACATGCTGAAAAGAAGAGGAGACAACATAGTATAATTAGTATTACCCAAAATTATGTTGGGATGAAGTTACAAGAAAATATTTACAGAAACTTGATATATCAAGAAACAACTTATGATGAAAAAAAAAAAAACTTGCCACATTCAAGCGGGCCAAGAGTAAGGATAATAATGACAAAGAATCAAACTTCATTCGAATGGGACCAAGGTAAGGATGATAAAAATAAGTTCATCAGACGGGCAAGGCTGGGACTAAATTTCAGAAATTCAAGCCTCCAATTGATTTTTTCTAAAGGAAACAATAAGGATATCTCTGTAGAGTGGATTGTAAGAGTACTTTATGGGGTAAATATGGAGTGTGAGGGTGATTTTGATGTCCACTTGTGTCATTTAAATAAAATAAAAGTGTTGAGTGCAAGTGTACAAAGTGGAACACCCTATTGGTGGTCTCCTTTTCTAAGTCTTATCACATGTTAGTTTACCAAAGAAAATCATTATATAGGATGATGTTCCAGAAACTAAAGCAGTCTTAATTCATGCCATTGCATCTTTCAAATTAACACATTTTGAGCACAAAAATTAGACCACGAATCCTGTTATTATGTTGTCCATATTAAAATGGTTCCACGATATTAAAATTAGATCAAAATATTTAAATATGAGATCACAAGTGCAGGTGAAAAAAATGCATTACTTACACTGCAGTGATGTTTATCTTGCTATCTCCAGCATAAAAAACATGTGCACCAGGGTCCAATACGGATGCATCAATTATTAATGGGGATACAATAATGTTTCTCAATGTTTTCCCCCTACATAATGATGCAGAATCATCAAACAAGGTAACATATTCAGCATAGGTACTATAATCCCTAGCAAAAACTTGTTGAGAATTATTTGTTTCCTGTTCAATGGAGATGAAAATCCTGTGATCATAAAGAAATTGTATTAATTAAGTGTCCGTTACTTTAAGTCTTCAAACAATTAAAAGAGAGATGAAAGTTCCCAATATAGGATGATTCGGAAAAAGGTCAATGGGGTTTAAAAAGAAAGAAAGTGAGAGATTTAAATGCATGGGAGAGGAAGAGATAAGAATTTCATCCTGTTCAAGGAAGAAGCCAGGGAAGCGGCACGGTTATTTTCTTTATTAGTATTATCAGTAAAAAATGAACAACAACACTACCATAAATGTATGAGCTTAAAGTAACAATGACTAAAAGCAATGGCTTCCAATATTTACAGCTTTGCAGCTTTTATTTCATCGTCAACCATGCAGATTGTCTTCATGATCAGCAGCCATAACATGACACTACACTTATCAATTAAAAAAAACAAAAAGGGAGGAGAGAAAAGAAAATAGTGCAGAACATGCCAAACCTTGCAAGTCCGATCATTGCATCTCCGCCATTACATCCTCCATAACTTGTAACCATAGCCACATGCAAACTTTCACCAGGTGTGCTTGGAGAAACTATATTTGAACAGCTATTCTCTAACTTCTGCTGTTCTGCTGCTTGCACGGTCAGAGTCTGTTACGACAGATATGAATTAATGATTTGAACTTTGAAATAAATAAAGATATATACCACAGATAAGTATATATTCATACAGGTGTCTTGCTTCCTGCTTCCGCAGATCATCAAATATTCTAATTAACATGTATATATATATATATATATATATATATATATATATATTCTCGGTAATTCATTAATTAACATGTAATTTTAGTCCGTAACATTCCATCAAACAACATGTTACAAGAGAGCACACACAAGAGGATAGATAAGTATGTGACAAGTGATCACCAGACTAACACATCCATTTTATGCCCTCATAAATCAATAGTGATTGATCATTACAGTACAATAAGCAAGTAATAGCCCCGATAATGAGCATGCCACTTCTTAAGCATCATGCGAAATGACTAATCAATATAGACAACTCAATAAATGCAACCGATACATCATAAATAAGAACTCCCAATTCTCTTGATTCCAATTGCTAGAACTGCACCCAAAAAAAAAATCAAAATATCTTATGAAGCATTGATTTAACAAACTAAGTTGCTCCAACAGAAACACGAATTTATATATGTGGATTCGCAGTACCTTTGTTTGAAGAAGCAATAGTTCAAACATTTTAGATTCAAATATGTAACACAAACATGGTTAATAACACACGTGCATATCTCTTTCTCTATCTCAATATATATATATACACACACACAAATACAAAGAGATGGTGTCACAGATACAAAATTATTCTAGTGAGAATGACCTTTTATAACATAAAGCATAATATAAAAGTAAATGTAGATTTAATTTGTATGTATATACAATGTTTGTTACAGAGAGTGACCCTTCTCCAGGAACAGTAAAGGAGGAGGAATAGGAGAGACAGAGCTGATCGGAATCGTAGCCGGAAACTGACAGCTACATTAAAGTCAAGCTCTTGCCGGAGGTTTCAGGAAGTTTGTTAGGGCGTCGGGTCCTCGTATTCGGATAGCAGCTTCGTCATAAGCTAAGGCGGCCTCTACAGCAGTGTTGTAGGTCCCTAACCAAACCCTAGCTCGCCGCGACGGATCTCGAATCTCTGCCGACCATTTTCCCCATGGGCGCTGCCGAACGCCGCGAAACTTTTTGCTGCCACTGTCTTTTTTATCCTCTGTATGGTTGCAACCGGTTTGAAGTTTGATCTCAGTAATATGGGTCTTCCCTCCGCTAGTACAGTTCGTCGCTCGATGAGTCCGTCGCCTCACCGTCGGTGACAAGTATCCGAACAAGACGAGGCATTTCGAAACTTATCTCAGTCGAGGTAACGTTCCGGTGGACACTGTGTGGAAAGACGGGAGGAGAGAATTAAGAAGAAGGGGGGAAAATGATAAGAAAAAACAGAAAATAAATAAATAGCTCCCAAAAGAAAGTGGAAAAAAAAAAAATAATAATAAAAAAATATAAAAAAAAATAAAAAGAAAAGAAAAGAAAAAGAGAAAATTTTAAGATCTCAATTTTTATATATTTTAATGGGTGAGCATCTCCAACCCAATGCTATTTGGGCGGTTACTTGTAAAATATAGCAAATGGGCTTCAAATAGGCTCTCCAATGGGTTGTCATTTCGCCTGCCAAATTTTAACTTTGCCAATTCTAGCACAAGAAATGGCAATTGTTATTTCTGACCGACTCCTATTTCGCTCCGATCCTATGTCTCCAGGGCAATAGAAAAAGAGAAGAGAACGGCGGCAACAGACGGTGACCAGCGACAGAGAGAGAGAAAAGAACGGCTGCTATTCTCGATCAAACCCCACCACCAGCATCCTGATCAGAGTTCGACCTCAGCCCTGCCCTCCTCTCTCCCTCTCCCTCTCTCTCTTCTACGCCACACACTCTCTCTCAAACCATAGACAACTTGCCTACACCATAGCCACTCCTCTATCGCTTTGAAACTCTAGAAGGAAACAACAAGTACGAAATCTATAAACTTGCATGTATACATATATATATTTGTATATATATGCTTTTTGATTTAAAAAATTTCAATTTCATTCTAAAATCCGGCATGGGCTTTGTATTTAGGATCCAGATTTCTCTCTCTATGCATATGTTTTGTATTGATTTGATTTCCATGTGTGTGTATATGTATTTTGCAATCTTCAATTCAATTTCAGTGTTGATTTGTTGATTAGCTTCCTTTAGGTATTCCTTTTGCGATTTCCCAATTGGGTCTTGATTCTTAATGATCTGTTTTACAAGTATATTTATTGGGTAATTGCCAATTTAAGCTCCAACCTCCTAATATGAAGTGAATTTTGGATTATTTTCCATTATGTGTATTAATATGAAGATCTGCTAGGACAATTTCGAAAACTTCATATATCTTTTTTTTTCCCATCAGATAAATGGAACTATTTGGAAATTTATTTTTCTCATCTCTTTTAACATATTCACTTGTTTACATATTCCCCAATTATTTCACTCAATTGTTAGTTCTTATATTCATCTATTTGGAAATTCATTTTCTCATGTGAATGGAAAATTCATTCCCGGAATTGTTGGTGCAGATTTTAATTTTAATTGATATTTGGCTCTTGTGATCTGGGAAACAAATTGGGAATTCATAATCAATAAATTGATTTTAAAATATTCAGTTCCCTTACTTTTGCATCACTAGAAGGTAAATTACTAATCACAATATAAACTCGTGATAATTCTTCCTCACTTATACAATTATTGGTCTTTTCTCCTGTATCATAAATCATTCTCTCTCATTTTAGCTCCAATAAAATCATTTAGGTGTATCATAGAACTATTGATCTCTACACAATTATGAACGGTGGGAATGATAGTCGAAAAAGAATAGTGGTTGTGTCAAAAAATAGTATTTTGTATGAAATGCACAATTGGAATAGAATTACTAAAATGTAATATTTTGTCATTGTAGAACCTGTCAAAATATAGATTTGGCATGCGAAAATGGCTTTTAGCATTGGAGATGCTCTTTAAATGCAAAAAAAAAAAAAAAAAAAAAAAAAAAAAAAAAAAGCCTGAATTATTAGCAATTCTGCAAGAAACCCCCTGAACTACAAAAGTTGCAAGAAACCCCTAAACTATACAGTTTTGTTGCAGATGACTCCTTCCGGCGATGCTCGAGTTGAATCTCACCGTTAAACCTACAATATCTAATTTAATGACCATAATGCCCTTTAAAAAGTATAAAAATACTCTATTGCACCCCAACCTCTCTTTAACTTACTTTTACACCCATACACGCCCTTATGGCCTTATCCCTTATTTCTATATGCACAGACGCATACATATATATATATATACACACACACACATATAGATGTATTGTTCATCTTCTTCGTGTCTTTCTGGTAAAATATATAAATAATATATTGCCGACCTAAATCTCTCAATGGTTCCCTCTATCTATCTATATATATATATATATATATATATATATATACACACATACACATCTATATTTGGACTATAATTCATCCATCACAATTTGTTTGGAGAATCGAAGAATTTTCAGAGGAAAAGAAACAATTGATTCAGCAACAGTGATGGGTCACATGAGTATAGAGATGGATCAACAAATTCAGAAGTGGGTTTGAATGAAACAGAGTATTTGAAGCCCCAATTAAAGAGTGAAACCCAAATAGCACTACACTACTCCTGTTGACCGACGCACACACTCCTCGTCAGAACCCTAACTTCGCCGGCGACAGACCCCCTTTCCGTCTTCACACTCATAGCCGAATTTAATTTCAGATTGAGACACAATTGCTCCACCTCAAGTGACTGAGGCGGAGTAATTATGGCAGTCGGAGCAGGCGTGGCTGAGGCGAAAGGCAATTACGGTTGTCTGATGATCGTTTGTTCTCTTTTTAAGCTCATACCTGTTGATTTCAGAACCACCACAAGCACCGCCGTTCCATCCCTCCAAGCACCGCCGCAAGCCACTACCGTTCCATCCCGCCAAGCCGCGCCGCAAGCTCACAGCCGAGCTTCTTCTTCCATCGTCGGTCAGACCATCACGGCCGAGCCCTCACGGGCCAACCTCTTCACAGCCGACCCCTCTATCGTGGCTGAGTCCTCGACATCATCCAAAGCCCAAACCGCCGAGCCCGTATTCATCCTTACCGGTCGTTCCTCTCACTGCCGAGCCCTCCATCGTTACGCCAGAGATCCATTTTCGTCCACTGTCAGTTCACCCACAACCGAGCTCACCGCTGTCCATGTTTTATCTGCCACTCTCTTGCTCGATTTTGGATCTGTATATTATATTTGGGCTTTACAACGATACAATAGATACATACAAATATATTTGGCCTTGTTTGGTTACAGTTTGAGCACTATTCCGGGACTACACAATAATAAGGGTATATGTGTCATTTGATTCACTTAGCTTATACACTCTCAAATCACAATTTTTATTTTTCCGGTTATGTAACAACCCAAACCGAGGGTCCGGATTGTTAATCGGGTCCTTCACCAAACCCGAGGACACACTAGGGGTAAAATGATCATTTTACATTGTGAGAGGGTAATAAGATCTTAAACTAGTCAAATGAGGTCTAAAACAATTATTCTAGTCATTTCATAATACTCGATGAAGTTTTACGGTCATCGGATATGAATTCCCAAAATACTTTTTCCCGGTTCAAAAGGAATCCTGACACTGTCCCACTAAAATGATTATAACTCTCCACATGAGTGGAATTTGGAGATGGGGTTGGTCTCATTGGAAAGCTAACTCAAAATCCTTGAAAATGGGCTCAAGAATGACCCTATTTGGGTTCAGAACGAAGAAGTTGTGACCATTTAAAGTTGTGTGCTCAAAACTAATGAGCTCACAAGGGAAAAATGCCCACTGGAGTTAAATCACAGCTACTAGGCTCCACTACTAGCTCCAAAACCCTAAGAAAAAGTACACACCGGTAAACAAATCACATCTCACATCGCATCGGTTATAACCTCTCGGAACAATTACTACAAAACCAAGGACTTCACCTCCTACCGTGGAGGTAAGTCAAACGATCAAGATCAAATCCTCACTCGGGATCACTAACAAAATAGGGCACTCTAAAAAGTTCTTTTGCCCGCTGACACGCACAACTCCTATATAGAGATATAAAATTCACAGATGACAAAGTCCTTGCTAGGACCAACACAAGAAGAAGGAAGATCAAATCCTTCTACCATAACAGAACAGAACACGCACTTATCGATACCTTGCATAACTATGCCAATGAAGAGGAACTAAACGGAGACGAAACAACTTGTACACTTAACATCCATATGTAAAAGAGAACAGTGCCCCTTTCCCAAACACTAAGGCTAGACAACGACTCTTAAGACATCGCGTCCCATCCTGCCCAAAGGAGAACCTTATAAGCGGAAATTTAGACCTTCCATTCATAAAAACAACTGTATGACGTCAAACAATCTCACCCATAACCTTTAAAGTAACATGAATAAAACCCTTCTGTCTTTAATTCATCAGTAAAACCATTATATAAGAGCTTAACTACTCACAAAATACACATCATTATCCAATAAAACCGCCTGTGAATTCACACATAGTCTTACAAATACGTCACTTCTTTAATACATAATGGTTATAACCGGTACATCATTACAACATGAAACCCATACAAAACTTCTCGATCTATATCCTGCCCCAAGGGCTCACACTAAGTATCATCAACATCACCCAGTCCGGAACCACACTACAGGATATGTTCACCATCCTGGCACAGATGAACCCGACACTGCACAAAGTGTACAGGCCTCTGCCCAAATTCACGGGTAGCCCCCGTTACCAGAACAACTGTGTGCAGGTACCTCCTGTCACACCCAATCTCGTAGGTATCCCCCGCTACCAAAACTCACAGGTATCCCCCACTACACAATCACATGTAACCCCCGTTACTGTACCAGACTCACAGGTATCCCCCGTTATGATACGACACCATGCACTGACAACAACATGACAAGACGTACATATGATAATATGACATGACTCCCAGATAATTATGCAACACGACTCACAGACAACCGTGCAACATGACTCACAGGTGTCCCATGTTACAACACGACATTACTCACATGTAGCCCCCGTTACAACACAACATGACTCAAAGGTATCCCCCGTTACAACACAAGCCGGCTCACGGGTGTCCCCCGTTACAACCAACTCGACGCACGGGTAACCCCCGTCACAACACATGCCGGCTCATAGGTGTTCCCCGTTACAACCGACACAACTCACAGGTATCCTCTG